CCCCCCCCCCCCCCCGCCTTGTGTCTGGTTAACAAAGGAACGATTACAATCCATCCTACTCCTAACACAATCCCATGTCCAGTGAGGTCATATTTACAAATACAGTGGTTAGGATTTCAACATTTAGGGAGAACACAATCCAGTCTCCATGCCTAGATGTTGTACTTCATCAACTGCCTGACTTGTGAGGGAAGAAGGGTGGGTGGGTGACAGGCAGGTGCTGCTACCAGGCCGGGTAGCATTACAATTGTCCTGTCCATAAATCTTAAATTCAAAGATCCCCTTGTCTCTGAAAGCCTTCAGCCTGCTTGTGGTTTGACATCTAGGTTGTAGTAGTGCCTTCCAGTGGTCACCATGCAGCAGGACATGAGGGGGCTTTTCTACAGAGGCTTCAGGCCTTTTGTTCATAGTGTGGCTGAGTTGTGCTCCACTCAGTGGCAATCACCAACACCACATGGTATTCTATTTGTCATCTACTCAGTGGCAGTCACCAGCAGCACATGGTATTCTGTCATCTTTTCAGCACCCAGCTAGCCAGTCACCATAGGTCACTGTTATAAGGTGCTATCCTGGTGACTCCAGCGACCCTGGGAACAGTAGCCCTGAACCCTGCCTTACCACTGTGCTGCATCCCACGCATCTCTGATGTGCCTGACCCCACCTTTGGTCACTGCGTCATCCATCTGTCTTCCTTTTTCACTGACCCTCCACCTTCCCACACACACTGTAATCATGGTTCACGTCTGCCTTTTTTAACTGCAGAAACTCAGGGTTAGTCTCAGAAACTAGAACTCCAAACCTCTAGACTGTGAAGTCAGAATCCTGTGAGATCTTTGGCCTCAGTGTTCTTGCGGTTTAACATGTGCATTCTAGAGTCTCTGATTTAAGCAGCTGGGGGTAATTGGGAGTTTTTCACTCTACACCTTAATCTAAACGCCTTCAGCATTTTGAAGTCTGCAGCCAGGCCGTTCTGAGTGACACGCAGGCTTCTCCCTCCACAGGTGATGAACGAGAAGCTTCAGCACTGCATGGAGCTGACAGACCTGATGCGGAACCACCTGAACGAGAAGAGGGCCTTGCGTCTCGAGTGGATGATTGTCATCCTCATCACGATTGAGGTAACGCAGGCTCGCCCCTCAGGGACACTCCAACTCTGTGCTGGGCGGAGGGGGCATTGAATCAGAGGTAGAAAGTCACAGCTGTTTAAAACTCCACTTTGTCCTGCTAGGTAGACTCCTTGGGAGTGGGGTTGTTTTAATGGACGGTGGCGTTCACTTGCAAATGCACTAACTGTAACATGGAGTTTCCAGTTTCTAAAGATAGCATTTGGATGGAGAAGGCCTCCTGCTGTAAATTCCTGTCTGGCCCAGCATCTCCTCTCGTGCTGCCTCAGACCTGACGTGGGCCACATGGGAAGGACAGACATTTACTCTTATTTTAGGAACATTTCTCATCACTTAGAATCTTGGGCAAGTAATTTTCATCTTTGCCAACTGTCTGTTGTAAAATTAACTCTGTCCTTTCCGGCCTTCAGGTGATGTTTGAACTGGGACGAGTACTTTTCTGATCAAGCAACACCAAAGACAAGGTCACTGCCAAGATGTGTTCAAGTTCTACAATCAAAATATACTCACTGTTGGGTGATCTCTTAATAGATACTTAATGTAAATAAAGAATCAATTGTTACAATCATCTTTTGGGGAACCCAAATATATTGATGCTTAGTATTACGGAGTAGTGTGTGGGCCTGTAACACTGACAGTCACAAAGGAAAATGTTTCTTTCAAGTTAAGGAACCTTGGGGACCTTTTGGATAACACTTCCAATGTTCCTTCCTAGAGGACAGAGAACTGCTGTAGGATTGGAAGGGTCTAAACCACCAAGGAAATCTAGACAAAGAGAATTCTTTAAGAGCCAGAAGGACTTACATTTGGTGCATCACTCTGGAAGTCTGCCACCAGGGTCTCCAGTCAAGAACCTGGATAAGGAGAAACCCTGAAAGCACTGGAGGTGACACAATCAGCAACTGAGAAGCCCGGCTGAGGGGCAGGAATGGACTTCCATTCGTTAGCATGTGGCAGTTGAGCACACTTGGCCTCTGGCAGTGGGAGGTGTCCCTCCTTCCAGCTGTGCATAGCTTTTGAGGAGGTTCTTAAAAAGTAAACATCCAGCCCAAACTCTTGGAAACCTACCATTCTGAATTAACATTGGGGGTGGGGGGCTCTTTAACAATCCATGTCTTTTAATTTACCTTCTTTCTGCATTCAACCCTGGGCCTCCCCCCACTATGAAGACTTTAAGAGAATGTTCTTTTTTCATACACATATACATATTAAGGACCACAGTACTTGTTTTTAAAATACAAGTCATTTTGCAACCTGTTTAACTGCTCTACACCAAAAAAAAAAGTCCCACTACCATCTTATGCAGGACACTGGTAGACATTTATGTATTTTAATGCAGTGATGCTGTGGTGAGCATGTTTTTAATACTTGCAGCTTTCCACCTCCAGGGGCGCCCAAGGCCATGTGGCCTGGATAGTCCCGACAGCTTCCTGACCAGGTTGACAGCAGCCCGTTCAGGCTGCCTGGCTGAAGTGTCTCCCTTCTCAGCTCACATGTGGACTTCTTGGCCACCTAGTCTCTTCAGGCCACCAACTGTTCATAAACCTTCGGAAAATCAAGCAGGAAGGCAGTCTGCATACAGAGCAGTTATGTCCTCATAACCACCCTCCTTGCCCTAGTCCATCTAGAATGCACGATCAAGAAACCTGTACAAGTTTCTTCAGGGTGGACAGCTTTATTTTTGGCCAAGTGTATATTGAGCGGAACTCAGAAAATCCAACCTGGGAAACATGACCATTATTTATGGCAAAGAATACTTCAATTTATATACAAAAAATGAAGGACTGCTCAGCAAGAACTTTATCACATGAAACTTTATTAGGATACAATTTGTGACATTGTTTCAAGAGAAAAAGGAACAATGTAAATCTGAATATCCCACTAGATACACTAACTGAAATTAAGTATCAAGGTTTATGATACATTAGAAGTTACATCTTTTATTATGTGTGTAGATGAGCAGACAATTTTTTACTTGCAAGTAATAGCCTATGAAAAGTGTTGTCTCAAAAAAAAAAAAAGAAAAAAGTGTTGTCTCAAAGAAGGAATGTTTTGGGGGAGTATTTGTAGTTTAGGATAAGGATGGGGAAGGGCCAAAGTGTAGCTGTTAGTTCTTTCAGGAGGGAAAGGTGAGATTCTTTTAGAAAAGAAAGTTAGGCAAATCAGGAGGCCCTGCACCCCTGGTTTAAAGACAAGGCCGGGCTAAGTGCAGACCACAGTGGCTTCACAGAGCATGTCTTCTCGCTGCTTCCTCTACAAGTCAGCTGCAACTCTCTTTGCCTCTGAGCGTCTCTGGCACCTGCAAGCTTTTCAGATGACTTCACAGGAATATAGTAAAATCAAAGGTGGTTAGCCGACCCAGAACTGCCTGTCCTAGATGAATCCTGGGTCTGTGGGAAACAGCTTACGGCTTGGACTCCTTGATGTGAATACTAACTATTCACATTTATAAACACCTCACCTTAAATCAGGGAAGGTTTAAAGTTAAAGCTACCACTTGTTTCTCAACCTCAGCCCTTCTGCCACTTGGGCCAGAGACCTCACCATTGGGGGGACTGTCCTGTGCAGTGGACTTTGAGTAGCATGAGTGGCCTCTATCCACCAGCTCTCCCCCATGATCCCCGACAACATGTCCCTGTGTCAGTAACTGGAACTGCTAACAAGTCTGTTCTCAGCACACCACAGCGGAGGGTGGGGACAGGGGTCAGGAGCCATCGAGTCAACATAATGTACAATGTACAACCCAGTGTACACTGGAATCAAACACTCCGCCACCACCCTGTTGTTCCTATGCTTAAGTCCATGTCACATCAGATACCAAGTCTTCATCTTCCTCTTCATCAATCCTAAGGCCCCACAGTGACTGTACTACTTCCAAGGAGGGAGATATGTGTACCCATTTTACCCTCATTTATTTAATCCTCACCCCCCTTCTCAAGTGAAAAGCTAGAATGGCCAATCACTACTGGACACAGGGTTGCTATGAATCAGAATGACTAGCACCTAGCAACTACAATACCTCTGTCAAGGTCAGGCTAGTGAATGGCTGAGTTGGAACCCTTTGTAGCTGACCCTCCAGTAGGTTTTCTGAGACAGTAAAGCACCAGAAGAGAATCCTCATCTTCCTCCAGAGCAGCTGGTGGATTTGAGCTTCGTTCCTTTGGGTTGGCAGCACAACTGCTCACCACTGAGCCACCAAAGCTCACCTTAGCCACACTTAAGTGTATGCAGCAGCCTCAAGCCTTTTCGGTGAGTCGAAAGCTGCCATTGCAGCCAGCAAAGGTGTCTGTGATAATGAGTACATTTTGTGCTTTATTCAGTGGTTTCAAAATGTAAGCACGAGTGAGGCACTGACCACTGGTGGACTAAAGTCAGGGAGAGGGTGACTGTGCCACCAGAGGTCCTGTCAAGGGCACAGATGACTTGTACCACGACGTTCATGACTTATCACATGGTGTTCAATTTGTGCTACACTGTCTCCCCACCTAGGAAAGATGTGCTGTAAGGCAGCCTTCTCAGCCAGCTGGGCCAGCCTCCTTCCTAACGTTTTAGAGGTTCTGGGAAGCAAGATGGGTTGACACATGAGTCCCTTCTGTCCCCAAACCAACTAATTATATGATAATCAAAGATAACAGTTCTCACCTGCAACTCACTGGTGATTATCTTAATCCTATAAGTCTGAACTGAATCTTTATTTACATATAAATGAATTTTTTATTACTTTAATAAACAATTTTCCAGTAAAAAGATCACTGCGTAAATCAAAGAAAATTTAATAAATTCCATGCATGAAAGAACTTGGCAGGTGTGTTCAAGATCCAGTTCAGAACTTAAACATGTGGATAAACTCGGGGGCAGGAAGAGTGGTCTTTTTCACTCTCCAAACCCCGTAGGCTTCTCAGGTCCTTCAGGGAGCTCTGGTGGCCTCAAGGTAAGGAGTTGCGCTGTCAATTAGATGGCCACAGCCCAAACCCACCAGCTTGCTTGTCCTTTCTAAGAGTTGTTGGATATTATGGCTTAGTGCTCCTGGCACCCCGCAAATCAGGTCTTACGGAAAAACAACTCCTGGCTCTCACTTAGCAGGATCACCAGATGCACCTCAACACGCGACCATGATCTTCAGTGTAGTGTAACTATTCTCTGTTGTAAACTCTAACCTCTGTGAGGACAGGGAGGCAGGTTAGAATCAGTTCTGTAAGGGAATGACCAGCCTTGTCTGAGGGGGAGCCTCAGGGACGCGGCCACCACGGAGGATGTTTGGACTCTGGCAGAAAGCTAGGGTGCATTTTGTCCAATCTGCATCTGGTTGTGGTCTCCAGACTTGAACCATCGGCCTGCTGTACCTGCAGACTTTGGTTTCGTCAGTCTGAAAAGCCAGCCATCTGGGACCCTGCTCTCCCATCACAGATGACCAACCTCAGGGTAGCCTGTGAAGCTGGCTGCACCCACAGGCTGAGACCCTGCCTGCCAACAGCATGGACTCCAAGCCTCCTAGGCATCTCTCTGGAGGTTCTGCCTACAGCCCTGGGACTTGCCAGCCTCTCTGAGCACACGAGCCCCTTCTCTGTAGTAAGTTTCAGGCCCTCCCTACCCTCCCTATCTCATGCTGTGTGTCTTAGCTATCTGTAAAGCTATCAAAGAACCAATCCTGAGGTCATCTGGAAAACAGACTTCCCTCGCAAGGGCACAGAGTAAACGGAACGCATGCACACAGGCTACACAGCTATTCGAATAAAGTCAAACCATGCTTTTATTACTACTAAAGGGCCATTACTGAACTACTTCTTAGTTTTTTCTACATTAGAGCCCTCCTCAGCCTACATCGGACAAAGACCTGTCTCCCATCTGAACATGCTGCTACATCCTTAACACCAGAATCACCCTGAAGCCAGTCTCATTCTTTGCCATCTGCTTATTCCTAGCACAACTTTGAGACTATGCTAGAGCCTCTATTAATTGACAGAATAAAGCAGGAACTGCAGAGTAAAAGTCATCGTCTACCAGCATTTCATTTTCTGGGTAATTGTAGACAGAGATGTTCAAGTTGGTTTTTCCACTGACAGTAAGACACATATATATGATGATCTATTTTAAGATTTTAAAATTGTGTTGACTGTATGAGATTCTGGGGAGTAGTATTAACAATAGTTAAAAGACTCGTGCCTCTGTTCCATTAGTGAAATGGAGATATACTCAAACATTAATGTTGCTAAAGGGAAACAAGGAAATATTTACACTAAGTTCAGGTTAGCTTTTCTCAAATTAAAATGTGACTAAAAGATTCTCAATTTCAGAATTTCCAAACTGGTAATAAGGGATAGTAAACATGACAGTCCAATCTTACAGAGTTTTTCTAAGAACAAAAAGTTAACGCATAAAGTACTTAAAACAGAAAATCCCCTTCTGAGGTGGATGTGAACCGCCATCCACGTGGTCAGCGGCTGAGCTCATGAACATTTGCACCAGGGACTCTCTAGCTACCACTACTCTACCTTAAACCTAATCCACAGAAAATGT